GGACTTGCAATCCTCAATCACTCTGGCCACTTGCTGGATTCATTGTCGGTTGTCCCGAGTTCAAACCCTTGACCACACTTATAAAATTAATAGCCAATTGGTTGTCTCCCTGCCAGTTGGGGTTTTTAATCCTGTTATGTTCTATTTGGATTATTTGTTTCTTTAGATACCATTTGAGCGGAGAGCCCTGTAAACAAACTTAATTAGTAAAACTAGTGACCCCTCCCCTCCCACCCCAAACAAAGTTTAATTTTGAGCATCATGGGTGGAAATGAGTCTTTTTTTAGCTAACATTGCTGAGTGGAGTAGGGACGAAGGGATGAACCCAAAGCCGATCAAAAAATTGTTGTAAGGAGCAGAGTCCTATGTAAAAATTACTTGCAAGGGTTTTTCACGCCGTTCCAAGTTCTTTTGGCCTCCATTGTAGGCAAGCAATATGTGAGAGCCGCTTATCCAAAGCTTCAATTCAAGTCTTTTTCGCGCCCTGAGGTCCATCTTGTTTACTGTTTCAATGTGTTTTCTTACAGGAGGAACCCAGTTTTAAGCTATTGATGGATCTTCTGGCTGAGAGCATAGCTGGAGCCAAGTCTCTTCAAACTCAGGTTGATCAAGAGACACAATTATTTTGTTCCATCGGGGTTGTGCTCTAGCAGAGCCTGGTGGCCCCTGGCGCATAACTTTTGCCGTCGGGTGACTAGGAAATCTCAGATTTTTCACACAAATCATATGCTGGGCACCCTAGATTTCACAGTTTCAGAGCACTGGGCTCCCTTCAATTTTCCTTAGAGCACAGCCTCGTCCATGTTCTTCATTGCCACAGATATAGAACCTTGCAGTAGTGGATCCAGACCTTCGGATAAGGGAGGGAGGGGAGGGGGTGCAGTGTCAGTGCCTGTCAGGTCTCAGTTTGGGCTAAAAATACTTGGGGGGGAGGGTGCTGGGTCCCCCGGGCCCCTCCCCCTGGATCTGCCCCTGCCTTGAAACTCATTTTGTTTGAGTTTCTATACACTATGTTGTTGTGCCCTTTTTGTATACCCCCTTTAAATCAAAACGGTACTCTCTTTTGACACCAGGAATATCTGTAAGAGGTAGCTTGATCTCCAGGTTTAAATGATCTAATCTTGAAACTCATAAGCAGTTATTTCCCATGCTACTGTTTGTGTTTTCATTTTGGTGGACTGTGGGTTGAGTGAATAGGTTTTCTTATTTTAAACATTCAAATTCATGTATTATTAGGTCCTGGTCTTTACAGCCTTGTTGCTGCCTTAGACAAGGCATTTTGATTTTTATAGTGAACTTAATAAATCTTAGTTTGTTTTTCTGATGAACAAACTTTTCATATATTTGCAGTGGCAAATACAAGGGAAGGCCCTTGGGATCAATTAAAGTTTCTGGGAAACTGCCCACCTACCCCTCCCCTAAGCTAACATTAACACTTACTTCTCACTTAGGGCAAAATGATGGCTTAGGGAAGGGGTAGGTGGGTAGTTTCCCAGAAACCTAAATTGATCCGGCCCTTGGGGGTTGCATTCCTGTCCAATATAATTTTTCCACACCGCCACCCTACTATTATGTGTGTCCCCCCTATCCTCAACACTGGATCTACCACTGATTAGCCTGTGCCACAGATGAAACCAAGCTTTGGTTATGTCTATCAGCAAAACAGTACTGAAATCCTGGCTTGTTCTGAGCCTCTGCCTGTGTACCAGGCTTTGAGTACGCACCATGATTAGCATGTTAAAAAAGCCATTATCAATTTGCCAGTCTGGTTGAAAGGAAAATTGAAACACAATGGTGAGTTCCAGAACAAGGATATTGGCACTGCTTTGCAGGCATTACTAACTGGGGTTAGACTACGTCTGCGACACAGGCTAGCACTAATCTCTCCTGCATGTACATGTATACCCTGTGATTGACTAGCAAACCTAACAGGAATGCTACAACCCCGGACAAAACTGTTGAGACAATTCCATCTATTTTCTAACTTTTGCGCCCTACTCCCGTCTCCCCTAAACACAAAAAGTAAACCCCCTCCCCACCCCCTATTCAAAGTTGCCTTGGTCTAAAAACCAACGTGTATAATTGCCATGCTATCCTAAACAACTTTGGATAAGGGGAGGGGGGAAATCGGGCATTCATTTGGCGGCGGTTTCAGTTTTTGCCGGGATGACAGGAAAAAATAGGCATTTTCACGATTTGTCTCAACAGGTTTTGTCCGGGGTTGTCTGCGTATTGTTTTCGGTATTCTTTAACTTTCATAGCAATTACCTCAAGTTATAGTCCTCTCTTTTGGTCAAATTGATAAAAGCCATTGTTTCAGCATACTTTTTTTTTCTTTTGAATGCGAAATAAAATTTTTACAGTAAAAATTGAAGTTATAACACTCTGATTACATGATCTGTCAAATGACATTTACTCTGTGACGTTACCATGGGCATGACTTTCAACGGCTTATGTGTCCGTAGACGCTTTGCCTGCTCAAATGATGACATTGATATGTAATCGCCAGACAAAATGGATCTCTCGAGAACTTCCGATAGTGACGAATCATTTTAAGGAGGCTCGGAAATATCGCATGAATCACTAGGTGAGAGGAAGGTTAGTGCGCTTACCTGGTCACTTACAGTCACGCCGAATGTGGCTCATTTTTCCATCCCATGAGTAATTTGCCTTAGCAGTGATTACGCTGATTCGCCAAGTTTAGTGCAAAGATCCTACACTTAATAGGACAACATTGCCTCAGTTACAGCAAATGTGGAATTGTGTACGAACGGGAATGTGGTATGATGGATCTCTCATTTCTCCACGCAGATCCCGGGGGGAACAATAACGGAAATCCCTTGATGTGTAAGGTGCTTCGATGAGCTTGCTATGCAACAACAAAACGGAGTAGTTTTTCTCGCAGACGGTTAACTTAACGAATAAAGTACTGCAGAGGAAAGAAACATCGGTTAACGACGGTTAACAATGGTTAACAACTTTTCTGAAGAAAAACAACAGTTAGACTATCAGTTTCCTTTAATATATTCTGTTAACCGCTGTTAACCGTTGTTAACCGTTGGAATAAACATGTGCGTGCCTGTTAATCGTTTATTTCAAGCGTTTACGGTGCTTTCAAGCATTTTCCGTAGTATATAGAACCTTTTTGTTGATTTTCAAGCATTAAAAAGACCTTTTTACTTAAGGGAAAACTTTTTGACACTGGTGTAATTGTCATGAAGTGCGCTGTTTTTTGTCACAAAAGAACTGCCATCGTGTGACAACATGTTTTCGCTATATTTGTGATCAAAGAGGCATTGCTTTCCCTACACATCCTATTTCTACCCATTTTGGAAGTTCTTCATTAATATTTGTTCTTTTGGCCTTGGTTGTCATAGAAGAATTAACGGTTTTATCGGCATGGATTCCATTATTTTGTCAAGTAGATAATCTGGTATATTATGTTGTAAATTGTTCTAATTATTACACACTCAGTAAACGCTGGTATTGTTAACTCGGTGAAGCTTACTTTTCCAGTTCTACTTTAACTACATGGAGAAAGTTGTCACTGCAACTAAGTATCACTACCTCTAAGGGTTATTTTTAACTGCTCCGCCGCATTCTTGAGTCCTCGTGCATGACCTGCACACCACGCACTATTATTTTTTAACAGGACAGTTGTGCTGCGCAAATATAATGAATACCCAGTCTTATCTAATTTATTCGACATGTAAGCACAATTAACGTTGGTAAAAAGGCCGGAGGTAAGGCTCCTATTAAGATATCATATTTGTGACACACAGTAACTCCTTAACCGTGGCCACCAACCACAATTAATTTCAATACTTTTTCTGTAACGAGCATGATTTCTTTCTCATTTAGGTATAAGGTTTCTAATTTATGGCTAAATTTCTAAGTGCATAATTAATGCGTCCTAATTGTTTTTATGAAACCTTCTTTCGTAGTCACAAAGCTTTAGACAAGTACAACATCTGTGCAAAAAATCAATACCCTCCGACCTTACATCGCGAAGTTACAGCGATTTGAACAACTGGCCTTCACAGACAACCCCGGACAAAACTGTTGAGACAATTCCATCTATTTTCTAACTTTTGCGCCCTACTCCCGTCTCCCCTAAACACAAAAAGTAAACCCCCTCCCCACCCCCTATTCAAAGTGTCCTTGGTCTAAAAACCAACTTGTATAATTGCCATGCTATCCTAAACAACTTTGGATAAGGGGAGGGGGGAAATCGGGCATTCATTTGGCGGCGGTTTCAGTTTTTGCCGGGATGACAGGAAAAAATAGGCATTTTCACGATTTGTCTCAACAGGTTTTGTCCGGGGTTGTCTGCGTATTGTTTTCGGTATTCTTTAACTTTCATAGCAATTACCTCAAGTTATAGTCCTCTCTTTTGGTCAAATTGATAAAAGCCATTGTTTCAGCATACTTTTTTTTTCTTTTGAATGCGAAATAAAATTTTTACAGTAAAAATTGAAGTTATAACACTCTGATTACATGATCTGTCAAATGACATTTACTCTGTGACGTTACCATGGGCATGACTTTCAACGGCTTATGTGTCCGTAGACGCTTTGCCTGCTCAAATGATGACATTGATATGTAATCGCCAGACAAAATGGATCTCTCGAGAACTTCCAATAGTGACGAATCATTTTCAGGAGGCTCGGAAATATCGCATGAATCACTAGGTGAGAGGAAGGTTAGTGCGCTTACCTGGTCACTTACAGTCACGCGAATGTGGCTCATTTTTCCATCCCGCGAGTAATTTGCCTTAGCAGTGATTACGTCGTTCGCCAAGTTTAGTGCAAAGATCCTACACTTAATAGGACAACATTGCCTCAGTTACAGCAAATGTGGAATTGTGTACGAACGGGAATGTGGTATGATGGATCTCTCATTTCTCCACGCAGATCCCGCGGGAACAATAACGGGAAATCCCTTGATGTGTAAGGTGCTTCGATGAGCTTGCTATGCAACAAAAACGGAGTAGTTTTTCTCGCAGACAGTTAACTTAACGAATAAAGTACTGCAGAGGAAAGAAACATCGGTTAACGACGGTTAACAATGGTTAACAACTTTTCTGAAGAAAAACAACAGTTAGACTATCAGTTTCCTTTAATATATTCTGTTAACCGCTGTTAACCGTTGTTAACCGTAGGAATAAACATGTGCGTGCCTGTTAATCGTTTATTTCAAGCGTTTACGGTGCTTTCAAGCATTTTCCGTAGTATATAGAACCTTTTTGTTGATTTTCAAGCATTAAAAAGACCTTTTTACTTAAGGGAAAACTTTTTGACACTGGTGTAATTGTCATGAAGTGCGCTGTTTTTTGTCACAAAAGAACTGCCATCGTGTGACAACATGTTTTCGCTATATTTGTGATCAAAGAGGCATTGCTTTCCCTACACATCCTATTTCTACCCATTTTGGAAGTTCTTCATTAATATTTGTTCTTTTGGCCTTGGTTGTCATAGAAGAATTAACGGTTTTATCGGCATGGATTCCATTATTTTGTCAAGTAGATAATCTGGTATATTATGTTGTAAATTGTTCTAATTATTACACACTCAGTAAACGCGGGTATTGTTAACTCGGTGAAGCTTACTTTTCCAGTTCTACTTTAACTACATGGAGAAAGTTGTCACTGCAACTAAGTATCACTACCTCTAAGGGTTATTTTTAACTGCTCCGCCAAGATTCTTGAGTCCTCGTGCATGACCTGCACACCACGCACTATTATTTTTTAACAGGACAGTTGTGCTGCGCAAATATAATGAATACCCAGTCTTATCTAATTTATTCGACATGTAAGCACAATTAACGTTGGTAAAAAGGCCGGAGGTAAGGCTCCTATTAAGATATCATATTTGTGACACACAGTAACTCCTTAACCGTGGCCACCAACCACAATTAATTTCAATACTTTTTCTGTAACGAGCATGATTTCTTTCTCATTTAGGTATAAGGTTTCTAATTTATGGCTAAATTTCTAAGTGCATAATTAATGCGCCCTAATTGTTTTTTATGAAACCTTCTTTCGTAGTCACAAAGCTTTAGACAAGTACAACATCTGTGCAAAAAATCAATACCCTCCGACCTTACATCGCGGGTTACAGCGATTTGAACAACTGGCCTTCACAGACAACCCCGGACAAAACTGTTGAGACAATTCCATCTATTTTCTAACTTTTGCGCCCCTACTCCCGTCTCCCTAAACACAAAAGTAAACCCCTCCCACCCCCTATTCAAAGTGTCCTTGGTCTAAAAACCAACTTGTATAATTGCCATGCTATCCTAAACAACTTTGGATAAGGGAGGGGGAAATCGGCATTCATTTGGCGGCGGTTTCAGTTTTTGCCGGGATGACAGGAAAAAATAGGCATTTTCACGATTTGTCTCAACAGGTTTTGTCCGGGGTTGTCTGCGTATTGTTTTCGGTATTCTTTAACTTTCATAGCAATTACCTCAAGTTATAGTCCTCTCTTTTGGTCAAATTGATAAAAGCCATTGTTTCAGCATACTTTTTTTTTTTTCTTTTGAATGCGAAATAAAATTTTTACAGTAAAAATTGAAGTTATAACACTCTGATTACATGATCTGTCAAATGACATTTACTCTGTGACGTTACCATGGGCATGACTTTCAACGGCTTATGTGTCCGTAGACGCTTTGCCTGCTCAAATGATGACATTGATATGTAATCGCCAGACAAAATGGATCTCTCGAGAACTTCCGATAGTGACGAATCATTTTCAGGAGGCTCGGAAATATCGCATGAATCACTAGGTGAGAGGAAGGTTAGTGCGCTTACCTGGTCACTTACAGTCACGCGAATGTGGCTCATTTTTCCATCCCGCGAGTAATTTGCCTTAGCAGTGATTACGTCGTTCGCCAAGTTTAGTGCAAAGATCCTACACTTAATAGGACAACATTGCCTCAGTTACAGCAAATGTGGAATTGTGTACGAACGGGAATGTGGTATGATGGATCTCTCATTTCTCCACGCAGATCCCGCGGGAACAATAACGGGAAATCCCTTGATATGTAAGGTGCTTCGATGAGCTTGCTATATTGCAACAAAAACGGAGTAGTTTTTCTCGCAGACGGTTAACTTAACGAATAAAGTACTGCAGAGGAAAGAAACATCGGTTAACGACGGTTAACAATGGTTAACAACTTTTCTGAAGAAAAACAACAGTTAGACTATCAGTTTCCTTTAATATATTCTGTTAACCGCTGTTAACCGTTGTTAACCGTTGGAATAAACATGTGCGTGCCTGTTAATCGTTTATTTCAAGCGTTTACGGTGCTTTCAAGCATTTTCCGTAGTATATAGAACCTTTTTGTTGATTTTCAAGCATTAAAAAGACCTTTTTACTTAAGGGAAAACTTTTTGACACTGGTGTAATTGTCATGAAGTGCGCTGTTTTTTGTCACAAAAGAACTGCCATCGTGTGACAACATGTTTTCGCTATATTTGTGATCAAAGAGGCATTGCTTTCCCTACACATCCTATTTCTACCCATTTTGGAAGTTCTTCATTAATATTTGTTCTTTTGGCCTTGGTTGTCATAGAAGAATTAACGGTTTTATCGGCATGGATTCCATTATTTTGTCAAGTAGATAATCTGGTATATTATGTTGTAAATTGTTCTAATTATTACACACTCAGTAAACGCGGGTATTGTTAACTCGGTGAAGCTTACTTTTCCAGTTCTACTTTAACTACATGGAGAAAGTTGTCACTGCAACTAAGTATCACTACCTCTAAGGGTTATTTTTAACTGCTCCGCCGCATTCTTGAGTCCTCGTGCATGACCTGCACACCACGCACTATTATTTTTTAACAGGACAGTTGTGCTGCGCAAATATAATGAATACCCAGTCTTATCTAATTTATTCGACATGTAAGCACAATTAACGTTGGTAAAAAGGCCGGAGGTAAGGCTCCTATTAAGATATCATATTTGTGACACACAGTAACTCCTTAACCGTGGCCACCAACCACAATTAATTTCAATACTTTTTCTGTAACGAGCATGATTTCTTTCTCATTTAGGTATAAGGTTTCTAATTTATGGCTAAATTTCTAAGTGCATAATTAATGCGTCCTAATTGTTTTTATGAAACCTTCTTTTCGTAGTCACAAAGCTTTAGACAAGTACAACATCTGTGCAAAAAATCAATACCCTCCGACCTTACATCGCGCGGGTTACAGCGATTTGAACAACTGGCCTTCACAGACAACCCCGGACAAAACTGTTGAGACAATTCCATCTATTTTCTAACTTTTGCGCCCTACTCCCGTCTCCCCTAAACACAAAAAGTAAACCCCTCCCCACCCCTATTCAAAGTGTCCTTGGTCTAAAAACCAACTTGTATAATTGCCATGCTATCCTAAACAACTTTGGATAAGGGAGGGGGAAATCGGCATTCATTTGGCGGCGGTTTCAGTTTTTGCGGGATGACAGGAAAAAATAGGCATTTTCACGATTTGTCTCAACAGGTTTTGTCCGGGGTTGTTGCGTATTGTTTTCGGTATTCTTTAACTTTCATAGCAATTACCTCAAGTTATAGTCCTCTCTTTTGGTCAAATTGATAAAAGCCATTGTTTCAGCATACTTTTTTTTTTTCTTTTGAATGCGAAATAAAATTTTTACAGTAAAATTGAAGTTATAACACTCTGATTACATGATCTGTCAAATGACATTTACTCTGTGACGTTACCATGGGCATGACTTTCAACGGCTTATGTGTCCGTGAGGCGCTTTGCCTGCTCAAATGATGACATTGATATGTAATCGCCAGACAAAATGGATCTCGAGAACTTCCGATAGTGACGAATCATTTTCAGGAGGCTCGGAAATATCGCATGAATCACTAGGTGAGAGGAAGGTTAGTGCGCTTACCTGGTCACTTACAGTCACGCGAATGTGGCTCATTTTTCCATCCCGCGAGTAATTTGCCTTAGCAGTGATTACGTCGTTCGCCAAGTTTAGTGCAAAGATCCTACACTTAATAGGACAACATTGCCTCAGTTACAGCAAATGTGGAATTGTGTACGAACGGGAATGTGGTATGATGGATCTCTCATTTCTCCACGCAGATCCCCTGGGAACAATAACGGAAATCCCTTGATGTGTAAGGTGCTTGATGAGCTTGCTATGCAACAAAAACGGAGTAGTTTTTCTCGCAGACGGTTAACTTAACGAATAAAGTACCGCAGAGGAAAGAAACATCGGTTAATGACGGTTAACAACGGTTAACAACTTTTCTGAAGAAAAACAACAGTTAGACTATCAGTTTCCTTTAATATATTCTGTTAACCACTGTTAACCATTGTTAACCGTTGGAATAAACATGTGCGTGCCTGTTAATCGTTTATTTCAAGCATTTACGGTGCTTTCAAGCATTTTCCGTAGTATATAGAACCTTTTTGTTGATTTTCAAGCATTAAAAAGACCTTTTTACTTAAGGGAAAACTTTTTGACACTGGTGTAATTGTCATGAAGCTAGTGCGCTGTTTTTTGCCACAAAAGAACTGCCATCGTGTGACAACAGGTTCTCGCTATATTTGTGATCAAAGAGGCATTGCTTTCCCTACACATCCTATTTCTACCCATTTTGGAAGTTCTTCATTAATATTTGTTCTTTTGGCCTTGGTTGTCATAGAAGAATTAACGGTTTTATCGGCATGGATTCCATTATTTTGTCAAGTAGATAATCTGGTATATATGTTGTAAATTGTTCTAATTACACACTCAGTAAACGCGGGTATTGTTAACTCGGTGAAGCTTACTTTTCCAGTTCTACTTTAACTACATGGAGAAAGTTGTCACTGCAACTAAGTATCACTACCTCTAAGGGTTAGTTTTAACTGCTCCGCCGCATTCTTGAGTCCTCGTGCATGACCTGCACACCACGCACTATTATTTTTTAACAGGACAGTTGTGCTGCGCAAATATAATAAATACCCAGTCTTATCTAATTTATTCGACATGTAAGCACAATTAACGTTGGTAAAAAGGCCAGAGGTAAGGCTCCTATTAAGATATCATATTTGTGACACACAGTAACTCCTTAACCGTGGCCACCAACCACAATTAATTTCAATACTTTTTCTGTAAAGAGCATGATTTCTTTCTCATTTAGGTATAAGGTTTCTAATTTATGGCTAAATTTCTAAGTGCATAATTAATGCGTCCTAATTGTTTTTATGAAACCTTCTTTCGTAGTCACAAAGCTTTAGACAAGTACAACATCTGTGCAAAAAATCAATACCCTCCGACCTTACATCGCGAAGTTACAGCGATTTGAACAACTGGCCTTCACAGACAACCCCGGACAAAACTGTTGAGACAATTCCATCTATTTTCTAACTTTTGCGCCCTACTCCCGTCTCCCCTAAACACAAAAAGTAAACCCCCTCCCCACCCCCTATTCAAAGTTGCCTTGGTCTAAAAACCAACGTGTATAATTGCCATGCTATCCTAAACAACTTTGGATAAGGGGAGGGGGGAAATCGGGCATTCATTTGGCGGCGGTTTCAGTTTTTGCCGGGATGACAGGAAAAAATAGGCATTTTCGCGATTTGTCTCAACAGGTTTTGTCCGGGGTTGTAGCTAAATGATCCTGTTCGGGTCATATATGTAACTGGCAAAGTGGGTTTAGCTTTAACTTTAATGAGCCACCTGCAGGCTATCACTCTCCATTCAATTTTGTAGAATCTACTAGCAAAATACAGTAATACCAGACACAACTTGTATGAGTAGGGCATCTGAGCAGTTTTTTTTGTCACCAGGCATTAGATGCTCTTAAGGAAGCAGCAAGTATTAACCAAGAGGAAGACAAACAAGAGCCAGAGAGGTGTCGGACCTTTGAGGTAACTGTAATCCACTGTACATGGATGGGAATGTACCTTGTTGTGTGTCATCTATTTCTTCTTCACTTGCTTTCATGCCCAATGTAAATGGTCTTCAGGAACCATTCTGTTTTTGTTCCAGTCCCACCTGATCTGTACTCCACCCAGGAGGGCCGCCTCCTGGTTCCCCTTCATTCCTAGTTTCTAGGGGATATGGACTTCACCCCCTGCAGACTGAGCAGGGCTCCTGTCCAAGGTGGCTACCCCCAGTACCACTCGATCTTGTTTCCCCCTCGGGTGCAGGGCGTCTCTCCTGGTCCACTTACCCCTAGATTTAAGTGCTTACCTGCCACCAATATTTTGCCCATTACTTTCTTTTGAGTTTTCCACTGGGTATACAACACAGAACTGCAATGCAAAACCATCCACCAATTGAAAGAGTTTATTAAGAAGTACAGTATTCACGTAATCAAAAAGTCTGGAAACACATCCCCCTCCAGAGTCTTCTGACCCGGCCTTTCTCTGGATCTTCAACTGCTCATGAGAACTAGACCAGAGAGCATATCACTCCTGTCCTACAGTCTTTAAGTAGGCTACATACTTGTGGAGCAGAGGATAATTTTCAAACTTCTTCTTTTCCTTTATAAATTTGTTAACAGTAGTCTCATACCACAATATCTAATTATTCTGTTAACACCTTATGCTCCAACAAAGTCACAGAACAACTGGAGAACTGACAATTTGACAATAGACGACTGTTTAACTGTGACAATAGATGGATCGAAATGCACCAATTACTGATTACGAGTCTTCATAGTCAATAACATCACGGTTTAATTGACAGACGACCAATAACATCACGACATAATGGGCTAATCAGATCAATAACCAGAGTATAATACCATCAACTGATGTGATACAACTCACTTTGACTCTGAAGATGACTACTTCACAGGTTGTCGAAACGTCAGTCACTGTCAACAACAACAGTCCTATTCAGGACTACGTTCAGCTGGACGATCAAACTCAAACTACTTTTGAAATGACTCCTGGGTTCAAACCTTTCACAAAGTCACTTAGATTAGCCTCTAAAAACCTTCTCAGTATTCCTAGATCTAACCTTAGTACATATGGAGATGGAGCCTTTTTAACTGCCGTACCACAGTTGTGGAATTAACCACCAAGTCCTATCCAAAACTCAAGTGCTGTTGCATCATTCAAGTCTTTTGTCTAATTTTTCTTTCTTTTTCAAACAGGCATTTTGTTAGTTGCCTGTTATGGACCATAGAACAAGTTTTGTTTTATTTCATCTTTATTTTTTCTCTCTCTTTTATATTATTATGGCAGTACAAACATCTGGATGCCCAGAGTAATATTATTATTATTATTATTAAATTCAGATAAATATAGATAATTTCATGTACATTAATTTTGATATTAGTACCATTTAAATTAGTAACATTTTAGACATTTTTGTAAATGCATTGAGGCGTATGCAAAATGCATATTAAGAACCGCTATTGTTATTATTATTATTATTATTATTATTATTATTGTTAAACTGTATTAAGGTTTTAACTCTTGTTGTTCCTGTACTCAGGTGATGACTCAGAGAATGGCTACTTCCAGCTTCAAAAATAGATTGTTTATCTCAGTTAACTATGTTGAAGGTAAACCTAAAACTGATTACAATTCTTACCTCAAAGCTTTGATCATGGCTATCAAACAAGCTTATTTTCAGAAGTACCAATATTTTACAAACTTTGTACGCATTCAGTTTTTACAAGACAATTAAAGAAAGCTGAGGTCACAAGGAAGATTTCATGTTCAGTGACTAATCTCTTAACATTTTCCCGCCAGTTACATATTTTAGCACCTTTTGCTGCCTCCCCAAACTGATTTGTTGTAAACCATGGACTCTTGTGTATTCAAAAAGAAATTGCAATGCAAGGTTTCGGAGTTAAGTCAAATGAGATGATAATTGTTCGCTGCTACTTTTGAGTTGAAGTGGCCCTTGCAGCATGTTTGTGTCAGACGAGCAAATTTCACCTCCAAGCCTCATTTTGAAATTGTCAAGTTGCAAAGTTTTGCATGCATTCCCAAGGCAGTAGAGTTGAATAGAATAGGATAACCAAGCACAACAAGTGCAAACGCAAAGAATTGTTCTTTGAGATGAGGCGAGGTGAAATTTGCTTGTATGATGTAATCATGCATAAGGGCCATTTACCTTTAACCCTTTAAGCCCTAAGAGTGATCAGCATGAATTTTCTCTTTATAATATCAATGCTTTAGAAAACAGAGTGGTCATGAGACTTGAGTACATGATCAGGGAAGATGTGTCTAATTGATATTTTAACAAATTCTCCCCACTACGTCTATTGAAAAAGTATAGGGACAGTAAATGAGAATCTCAATTTCAATATTAGGGTTTAAAGGGTTAAATTAAAAAGGCTTTTAGTTTAAAAAATTGACCATCAATACTGAGTACTTCATGTTCACTAAATGCCAACAGCAAAAAAAATAGGTAAACTTATTTCAAGGGATCCTAGTTTTATTTAATAACATCACTTTAGTTAATTCTTTAATTTATAAATGGGTTTCCAACTAAAGACACAACAACACCTTTTTCACAACAAATACAATTTATGTTTATTTTTTTTGTAAACGTTGTAAACCTTAATTAAATCGTTGAAATTAAAGAATTATACTGCACGACAAAACAGGAAGAGGGTAAATTACAATCAAAGTTTACTCGATGACCGCCATCATGGATTGGAGCTTTCCAGGTCAGCTGACTGCCACAGCTGTTTCGTGTATCCCTCATGATAGTGTATACATGCCAGGACCACGTGCAGGAAAGTCTGAAAATTGCTTTTTTCATTGTGATGCTTGACTCCAAATATTCCAAAATGACTCCAAAATTTGTGAAGCAGAAGTCACACTGACTCCACTCATCAATAAAAATTTGCAAACCGTGTTAGAGCAGAGCTGCAAATAACAGTCAGTCCAACTAAAATGTCCCCCACCCAATGAAATCCTACCTGGAGTTAGACATGATGACCAGACAGATCAAACGAATTATTACCAAAGACTATCATTTTGCAGCTGAAAAACAGGTGCATAGTATGTAAAGAAAGATACAGTCAAACCTCCTTTAAATGATCACCAAAAATGCAGAGATTTAGGTTACTTACTGGAGGTGGTTGCTCATGACAATCCAACCACAGGGGGTCTCATCTGAGAAGAGTTCCCAACATGTCTACTCTTTGGCAGAGAATTCACTGTATGCAATTTCTAAGTTATGCTTACCTGTATGTTATGGGTCAAAATGAAATTCAGGGTAAAATTTTTTATAAACCTTTGTTGATTTTCCTTTTCCTTTGTCTCCAAGCCCTAATTCGTGAATAATTAAGGCTAGGAGAAAAACGAAAATGAGAATCCACCTAGGTTAAGATTTTTGACCTGTAACATATACGTGTTTTATAATATTTGCACCCCATACCCTTTGTCCTGTTACGGGGTACTATGTTATGGGAGGAAACTTCAACTACCAGGACAATATAGGCATGCTGAATAATTGGGGTATGCGACGTCAACCTCCACCAGGTTATATTGTAGGTGGGAGGGGCAAAGCTTTGAAGTCACTTCCACTGAAGTCTGCTAACCTGGCCCAGAGGTGGGCAAAAACCAAGCTATTCTAAGCAAAGGCTGTAATGCATCATGCCAATAGTACGCAGGCCCAACATGATGGAATTTAAAGGAGTTTCTTATTTCCTGTGTCATGGGCAAATTGTGTATGAAGTGAGAATAGTTTCATTTTGACCTGTAACATATACAAAGAACTTTCATGATGGCCCGACGGGCAAGTGATGTTTTTTGAGGAATTCAAATAACAGAAGAACTGTGAAATCAATTCTGCTCGTCAAAAAGCTTTTGGGGCTAGTTGAAATGATGTCTGGGCTAGTAAATGCTAGCATCAGCTTGCCCAAATGGCAAGCTGTAAAAATGAATTTCTTTGCACTCTGCAGAGGTTAAAAACAATTGTAAATTATGAAGCCATCAGGCCAAAAAAAGTGGTCAAGGTAGCTGATGGGAGGTAGTCGCTAACAAGAGGTGGTCACACATGGAGGTTAGACTAATGTGTGTCTGACTTAAACAGTGACCTGGACAAACATAATTATCTCCTTTCCTCAACGCAAGCCTGGTCATGCATACCCTCATAGAGTGTGTGCCCGACCAGGCTTGGCCGTATGTGCTTTAAAAATTTGTTTATTCATTCATTCCATGTGCGACCACTTGGCTCATCTCAGTTGCACCCAAAAAAATTTGGGTGTTCACCAAACAGCAAGTTTGACTTGATCCTAGTAGCTGCCAACTCCACTGTATGTGTTTGCTTCAGTCTAGATTTTAAGCTTTTTGTACAGATCTGACTTAAAATTTCTACTAATTTTTTGGTCACCAGTCTGACTCCAGTTGTTCAAAAGCTGGAGAGCGCTATCCACTGGGTAAATAACTATCCAGCAGATAAGTGTTTAGGGAAACCAGTCGCACTATTCAGTGGATAGAGATTTATTTGGTGTGTAGCATTATCCACTCTTTGAACAACTGGGGCCAGAGCAATTAACTTGGTCAACAAGCAAGTCTGTAATTTTTTTTGTCCATTCTAGATGACGAAGACGATAGAACAGCTGAAACATTGGCTCAGTCACAGAGGTGCAGTACCTGTGGAGAGTTAACCCTTTAAGTGCCAATAGTGACCAAGATCAATTTTTTCCTAACAATATCCATACACTGTCAAGAGATAAGTTATGAGAATTAATAAAATGATCACGTGAGAAAAAATGCCCTGATCTTTCATCAAGTTCTCTCAACTGATTCCTTAAGGAAATGTATGGAGATCAGTTTGGAGAATTTGTATGTGGATATATACTGGGGCTTAAAGAGTTAACTCCTTGACCAGAAGGAGGCGTGAATGATGATGTAACATTAGATTTTGATATTTTTCACTGACTTTATATTTTGCTTCAATACTATTTACAGCCTTGCAGATAAGAGCTTTCATACAGCCCTTGGTGTATACCTTGGGGATGGGCTTAAAAATGACATGATCACAGCAGTTAATGGTGGAGCAGTGTTAGATGGAATGCAAACTCTCCTTGCTACAACGTCACTCAACCTCATAACGTAAGATAAACATACAAGCTCCCTGCACATGCCCTTGGAACTCTTCAAATTACTTTGTCAACTTAAAAAATTATTATCCTTTACTACTCAATGACCCCTTCAAGGTTACCTTAAAGTACTCTTTAGTACCAAAAGTACTCTAAAAGTTAATAATACATATGAATTAATGACAAAATAATTTATTACCTATTTTGTGTAATCTTTAGGGAACTTCAGTCGTTTTTATCAAGAGTCAACATTCTTCAGTGTGTTTTTAGTATGGGAGGACAGAATAAACTGGTATGTTTTTGTTATGCCGTCAGTAATGCAAAAATATAGAACTTTAATAATTAAATGCAGTTGTAGCCCTTGATAGGAAATAGAAAAGAGAGGAATCAAGGAAAAGGGATCTGATAGGAATAAATTTGGAAGAGGATTAGGTATTAAATTGGGTGTGGGAATGACAATGAGTGTAATAATTGTGTAAAATCCTTCCTCAGGTTGAACCAGTATTCAGCCTTGTTTGATTCAGAATTTAGTTTGTTTCCTAGCCTTAATTATTCATATTCTAGTGAGGTGTAGCTCCAGAAAATATCCAAAATATCCACGGAGGGAATTCAAAGAAGGCAGACTGCAAATTATAGTAGTTGCTAAAAAATATATCTACGAGTCCCAACTGTTCATCAGTAGGATGCCTAAAGTGCGTGCAATTCCATAATATTGGTTTTGGCTCCATTAAACCCTATACCAATTGCAGAACATTTTAGGAGAGCACCCACCCTGTGAGCACATTCGCGGACAACACATATAAGTGAGGAAAATAACTCAAAGCAAAACTAAGACGTTATTTAACGAACTGAATGTACACGCAACTTAAATAAATAAATAATGCACATGCCCAAAATTAAATTGCGCGTGCACACGTACCAAGATACAACTGAAATAAAAATCCAAGTAAGAAATAAGCAATGTAAGGATACGATGGTGCAATTTAAGCCTGGATTGCTAATCTCATCTCCCGCAGGGCTGCACCATACTTGTCGACGATAAGACCATGGCGATTGACGAATTTATGATATGAATTCTGAAGTCGATTGGTTTCAAAGCCTTGTTGTCTGAATGTCACTTTGGAGCCCCCACCTTCCTGGATTTTCCAATGTTGCGGGGATGACCCGCCGCCCCTCAAGAATTTCCACAAGTGTGACAAAGACCCCCCAACCTTGTTTGTTTCAGAATTTAGCTTTTTTCCCTGCCCCAATTATTCATAGAAGACTTTTTCTAGTAATTACCAAAGGTTACTGAGTGCAGGCGACATGGATTGAAGGTCAAAACACGTGATTAGATTACAAGAGACATACTTTAGAAGGTCCAAACACACATCAGATCAGATTGCATTCTGTACATCCCATCCCATTCTCATTCCCCAATTGAAGCTAGCTATGTTTGGCTGTGCATCGCCATATGCAATGGCAACCTGCTGCCGATGATGATTGCGGACTCCTCTTGTCCCCTGCTAGAAAGGAAATCCTTGTTTAACCTGAGAACAGATTTTACCTACTGCACAAAAGAACTTGGGGACACTATATCTGCAATGGCAAAAAAAACGAAATGGGTACTTTTTTTAAGATCACCCCCCCCCCCACCTTATCTCAGGGTTTGGATGGCCAGATAAATGAAACATGTATGTATGTACGTGTATGTATGTACATGTATGTATGTATGACTGCCCCCCTGCTATGTAAAGGTCTGGATTCGTCACTGTATAAATGAGGGTGGGATTGGAATACAAGACACTACAAGTGGTATGTGGATATGGGAATGTGAATGGACGAGTAATAATATGCAAGTCCTTTATAAATGTGGACTCACACTGCATGTTCTGCATATGTTATTATCATCATCAACCTACTGTATTCTCCTTTCTCCTGGTAATAATACAATTTTAAAGTTTCTTTCTGTTGTATTTTTTAGAAATGTGCACTTCCAGATCATTCCAGTGAGGTAGGCATATTGTATTATGTTAGTTCAGTTGTAGCTAATTATTTGTTTAATTATTAATTTGCTGTAAAATATATTGCTTGGTGACTGATCATTCTAGTTCATGTAGACTATATTTTATGGTAGGTCTGTAATTAACAGTATTTTAATACCTCCAGGTAGCTTGAAAAATTCCCCTTTAGTTTTCTGGCTGGGCAGGTTAATCTTTTGATTTTAACATGCCCAGTTGGCAAGAATTCTTGTAATTATAAAAAAATTAACTAAGAGAAGCAAGCAGTGGCCCTTATGGAGGCAGTGTGGCCAAGTGTCCAGCGCATGGGACTTGCAATCCTCAATCACTCTGGCCACTTGCTGGATTCATTGTCAGTTGTCCCAAGTTCAAACCCTTGACCACACTTATAAATAGCCAATTGGTTGTCTCCTTGCCAGTTGGGGTTTTTAATCCTGTTATGTTCTATTTGGATTATTTGTTTCTTTAGATATACCATTTGAGCGGAGAGCCCTGTAAACAAACTTAATTAGTAAAACTAGTGACCCCTCCCCTCCCACCCCAAACAAAGTTTAATTTTGAGCATCATGGGTGGAAATGAGTCTTTTTTTAGCTAACATTGCTGAGGGGAGTAGGGACAAAGGGATGAACCCAAAGCCGATCAAAAAATTGTCGTAAGGAGCAGAGTCCTATGTAAAAATTACTTGCAAGGGTTTTTCACGCCGTTCCAAGTTCTTTTGGCCTCCATTGTAGGCAAGCAATATGTGAGAGCCGCTTATCCAAAGCTTCAATTCAAGTCTTTTTCGCGCCCTGAGGTCCATCTTGTTTACTGTTTCAATGTGTTTTCTTACAGGAGGAACCCAGTTTTAAGCTATTGATGGATCTTCTGGCTGAGAGCATAGCTGGAGCCAAGTCTCTTCAAACTCAGGTTGATCAAGAGACACAATTATTTTGTTCCATCGGGGTTGTGCTCTAGCAGAGCCTGGTGGCCCCTGGCGCATAACTTTTGCCGTCGGGCGACTAGGAAATCTCAGATTTTTCACACAAATCATATGCTGGGCACCCTAGATTTCACAGTTTCAGAGCACTGGGCTCCCTTCAATTTTCCATGTTCTTCATTGCCACAGATATAGAACCTTGCAGTAGTGGATCCAGACCTTGGGATAAGGGAGGGAGGGGAGGGGGTTTTTGGTGGACTGTGGGTTGAGTGAATAGGTTTTCTTATTTTAAACATTCAAATTCATGTATTATTAGGTCCTGGTCTTTACAGCCTTGATGCTGCCTTAGACAAGGCATTTTGATTTTTATAGTGAGCTTAATAAATCTTAGTTTGTTTTTCTGATGAACAAACTTTTCATATATTTGCAGTGGCAAATACAAGGGAAGGCCCTTGGGATCAATTAAAGTTTCTGGGAAACTGCCCACCTACCCCTCCCCTAAGCTAACATTAACACTTACTTCTCACTTAGGGCAAAATGATGGCTTAGGGAAGGGGTAGGTGGGTAGTTTCCCAGAAACCTAAATTGATCCGGCCCTTGGGGGTTGCATTCCTGTCCAATATAATTTTTCAAGACCACCACCCTACTATTATGTGTGTACCCCCTATCCTCAACACTGGATCTACCACTTATTAGCCTGTGCCACAGAGGAAACCAAGCTTTGGTTATGTCTATCAGCAAAACAGTACTGAAATCCTGGCTTGTTCTGAGCCTCTGCCTGTGTACCAGGCTTTGAGTACGCGCCATGATTAGCATGTTAAAAAAGCCATTGTCAATTTGCCAGTCTGGTTGAAAGGAAAATTGAAACGCAATGGTGAGTTCCAGAACAAGGATATTGACACTGCTTTGCAGGCATTACTAACTGGGGTTAGACTACGTCCGCGACACAGGTTAGCACTAATCTCTCCTGCATGTACATGAATACCCTGTGATGGACTAGCAAACCTAATAGGAATGCTAGCTAAATGATCCTGTTCAGGTCATATAGATAACTGGCAAAGTGGGTTTAGCTTTAACTTTAATGAGCCACCTGCAGGCTATCACTCTCCATACAATTTTGTAGAATCTACTAGCAAAATACAATAATACCAGACACAACTTGTATGAGTAGGGCATCTGAGCAGTTCTTTTTGTCACCAGGCATTAGATGCTCTTAAGGAAGTGGCAAGCATTAACCAAGAGGAAGACAAACAAGAGCCAGAGAGGTGTCGGACCTTTGAGGTAACTGTAATCCACTGTACATGGATGGGAATGTACCTTGTTGTGTGTCATGTATTTCTTCTTCACTTGCTTTCATGCGCAATGGAAATGGTCTTCGGGAACCATTCTGTTTTTGTTCCAGTCCCACCTGATCTGTACTCCACCCAGGAGGGCCCCCTCCTGGTTCCCCTTCATTCCTAGTTTCTAGGGGATATGGACTTCACCCCTTGGAGACATGAGCAGGACTCCTGTCCAAGGTGGCTACCCCCAGTACCACTCGATCTTGTCTCCCCCCGGGAGGCAGGGCGTCTCTCCTGGTCCACTTACCCCTAGATTTTTAGTGCTTACCTGCCACCAATATTTTGCCCATTACTTTCTTTTGAGTTTTCCACTGGGTATACAACACAGAACTACAATGCAAACCCATCCACCAATTGAGAGAGTTTATTAAGAAGTACAGTATTCTCGTAATCAAAAAGTCTGGAAACACATCCCCCTCCAGAGTCTTCTGACCCTTTCTCTGGATCTTCAACTGCTCATGAGAACTAGACCAGAGAGCATATCACTCCTGTCCTACAGTCTTTAAGTAGGTTACATACTTGTGGAGCAGAGGATAATTTTCAAACTTCTTCTTTTCCTTTATACTCTTACCACAATATCTAACTATTCTGTTAACGCCTTATGCTCCAACAAAGTCACAGAATGACTGGAGAACTGACAATTTGACAATAGACAACTGTTTAACTGTGACAATAGATGGATCGAAATGCACCAATTACTGATTACGAGTCTTCATAGTCAATAACATCATGGTTTAATTGACAGACGACCGATAACATCACAACATAATGGGCTAATCAGATCAATAACCAGAGTATAATACCATCAACTGATGTGATACAACTCACTTTGACTCTGAAGATGACTACTTCACAGGTTGTCGAAACGTCAGTCACTGTCAACAACAACAGTCCTATTCAGGACTACGTTCACCCGGACGATCAAACTCAACCTACTTTTGAAATGACTCCTGGGTTCAAACCTTTCACAAAGTCACTTAGATTAGCCTCTAAAAACCCTCTCAGTATTCCTAGATCTAACCTTAGTACATATGGAGATGGAGCCTTTTTAACTGCCGCACCACAGTTGTGGAATTACCCACCAAGTCCTATCCAAAACTCGAGTTCTGTTGCATCATTCAAGTCTTATGTCTAATTTGTCTTTCCTTTTCAAACAGGCATTTTGTTAGTTGCCTGTTATGGACCATACAACAAATTTTATTTTATTTTATCTTTATTTTTCTCTCTCTTTTGTATTATTATGGCAGTACAAACATCTGGATGCCCATTTATTATTATTATTATTAAATTCAGATAAATATAGATAATTTCATGTACATTTGATATTAGTACCATTTAAATTAGTAACATTTTAGGCATTTTGTAAATGCATTGAGGCGTATACAAAATGCATATTAAGAACCGCTATTATTATTATTATTATTATTATTATTATTATTAAACTGTATTAAGGTTTTAACTCTTGTTGTTCCTATACTCAGGTGATGACTCAGGGAATGGCTACTTCCAGCTTCAAAAATAGATTGTTTATCTCAGTTAACTATGTTGAAGGTAAAAATAAAACTGATTACAATTCTTACCTCAAAGCTTTGATCATGGCTATCAAACAAGCTTATTTTCAGAAGTACCAATATTTTACAAACTTTGTACGCATTCAGTTTTTACAAGACAATTAAAGAAAGCTGAGGTCACAAGGAAGATTTCATGTTCAGTGACTAATCTCTTAACATTTTCCCGCCAGTTACATATTTTAGCACCTTTTGCTGCCTCCCCAAACTGATTTGTTGTAAACCATGGACTCTTGTGTATTCAAAAAGAAATTGCAATGCAAGGTTTCGGAGTTAAGTCAAATGAGATGATAATTGTTCGCTGCTCCTTTTGAGTTGAAGTGGCCCTTGCAGCATGTTTGTGTCAGACGAGCAAATTTCACCTCCAAGCCTCATTTTGAAATTGTCAAGTTGCAAAGTTTTGCATGCATTCCCAAGGCAGTAGAGTTGAATAGAATAGGATAACCAAGCACAACAAGTGCAAACGCAAAGAATTGTTCTTTGAGATGAGGCGAGGTGAAATTTGCTTGTATGATGTAATCATGCATAAGGGCCATTTACCTTTAACCCTTTAAGCCCTAAGAGTGATCAGCATGAATTTTCTCTTTATAATATCAATGCTTTAGAAAACAGAGTGGTCATGAGACTTGAGTACATGATCAGGGAAGATGTGTCTAATTGATATTTTAACAAATTCTCCCCACTACGTCTATTGAAAAAGTATAGGGACAGTAAATGAGAATCTCAATTTCAATATTAGGGTTTAAAGGGTTAAATTAAAAAGGCTTTTAGTTTAAAAAATTGACCATCAATACTGAGTACTTCATGTTCACTAAATGCCAACAGCAAAAAAAATAGGTAAACTTATTTCAAGGGATCCTAATTTTATTTAATAACATCACTTTAGTTAATTCTTTAATTTATAAATGGGTTTCCAACTAAAGACAACATTACTGAAATATCAAACAGGAATTTCAATGGAAACAAGTTTTAAGTTTGACACTGAATATAGAAAATGAGTTCTTAAGCAAGAGTTTGTTTGAAATTGAAGTTTTCAGCCTAGAGGTGTGAGAGTTGCCAGCTGTTTGAATGAATTAATATAATAATATTTTTTATCAGGAAAGATCTCATTTCTGAAGAATTTAAATGAAGCTTTAGATGTCAAGAATACTTCAGATCAAAGCAAAAGTGAGTATTGTGAATTTGTCAGCAAGTATTTGGAAAATATTTATTATAAGTTTAAGCACATACACATCATCATCATCATTATCATCCTTCAAACAGCAGACACCAGAGTGAACTTGACATTCATGGATATTTTCTTCCCGAACACCACGATTCATCTTTTGTAACTGGTTTACGGTAACAAGAGACTAAGGCTTGCGTTTAACACAGTTGATGAGGCATATCATATACTTACAGTTAGATTAGCTATTACAGTTGACTCCCAATAACTCAAAAAAGGCTCGAGTTAGCAGACGTCCCAGTTATCAGGAGACAAATTACCAGAAATAAGAAAATGGGATGGGGAAGGATTGCAAGTAACATGCACGCTTAAAAACTTGAAAAATACACAGTGCTGGACACTGTATCTAAACTGGACTGACAAAAAAGTAAAAACAAAGAATACATGGTTGTTAAAATAATTTCAGCGTTTCGGACTGCAGGACACTGTTATTAGATTTGTCAGTCGCTCTTATGCAAACCATGTTTTAAAAAGCATGGTTGGAATTATCAAGGGTAAATGTATTTATAGAAATGATCTGAAGGGAAACAAAAATTATTACTTTGATTTAGTGGGAAGTTCGAGTTACTGAGGGTGCGATTATAGTAATTATATGAAGGAAATCCAGGGGAAATCGATTTTGGTTCAAGTTAGTGATGGTTCAAGTTATCGGGAGTTGACTGTAATTTTAGTTTTGTTTCTTTTCTTCTAGTTGTTCAGTTAGTTAAATCAAAGGATAACATAAAACGATTACGACTGAAGATGGAGTCAAAGACTGCCATGGATTTTGAGTTTGATGATGGCAAGGTAAGATAAAACTTTTTAATGATTTTTTTTTTCCTGCTTTAAAAATTGGGCCAGTATTAAGCAAAAAATATCTAGTCGTTTTTACAAATTTGACGAACAATGCTGTATACAGTTAGCTTAGCACCAAAGTCTACTTAGTCTTTGGTCAATTTCATCGTTACAACTTTTACAATTACTGTAATCATTGTTTTAGATTTTGGGTCAATTTAATCAAACTGTTACAAATTGTTTATTTTATAAGCGTAGCTTTGATTATTTTTAAACCTTGTAATTTACGTTTTATGAAATTGGCCCCTGAAAACAAAACCTACACTTGTAAATTACACTTGAAAAATTTTTAAAGTGACCCCTGTTAATATTTTGAGGTATGATTGTAGTAAAAACAGGGAAGAGTAAGAATTCCTTGATGTAACATGGGTCCAAGTGTCACAGACTTTAAATCAGAAGGTTGTTTTCAGTGATTTTGTTACAAATAGTTATAGTGAGTCCTGGGACTCATCTTTCAAAAATCTTGATTCCTAGTCCAGAACCATTGAGTCCCAGTTCAAAAAACAGTGAGTCCTTAACTGAATTTTTTGGGCCTTTATGTAACCTTTCAGACAATTAATCTGAAAATAGACGCCAAAACTCTGTATTACAGTTTACCAGAATAAAAAACTCCTTCTATCATAAAGTACAAGAACAGCAACAGAGATCACACGAACAGGATATTCCACAAAAACATCTGCAGATCGTTCGATCGATCGACCTTTGCGTCCCACAGGATACATGTGGGAACTAAAAAGTGGTGATAATTCCTTCACAAAACCCGCAGAAATGTGTGAGATTTTAAATGACCATTTTACATCTGTTGGTCCACACTGCCTAGTGGAAATACAAGTTTTGACTCTTACATAAAGCCTGTTTCCACGACTTTTAATTTACAACATACCTCTGCCACTGAAGTTTTAAAGTTATTAGGTAAATTATCTCCGCACAAGGCCACTGGCCTTGATAACATCTCATGTTGGCTTCTAAAAGAAGCTGGCCCAATTATTGCCACTTCTTTAAGCTTAAATGTCACTAAAACGGAGTATATGTTCTTAACAACTACCTTCAAATTATCTAACTTAGGAAGAGACTTTCCAATTAAGATTGGCAACAATCATGTTAAACGAGTCCAAACAACAAAATATTTAGGAATTCACTTAGATGAAAATCTTAAATGGAACGAGCATGTTGACAAACTTTGTTCAAAAGTCAATCGATCCATCAGTGGTCTAAAACAGGCACGTGATTATGTACCATTAGATGTTCTAAATACTATTTACAAATCTCTTATCCAGCCTGTGTTCGACTACTGCGACGTTGTTTGGGACAATTTAGACCAGGGACTTGCCACTAGGATCCAGAAATTACAAAATCGTGCTGCACGCATAATAACCTTTCAAGGTTATGACGTTCGTTCAGCACAAATACGAAAACAACTAAACTGGGAAGAGCTTGCCTCAAGGCGTCAGAGGCACTTAAGTCTATTAATGTATGATACAGTGAATGGAAATATACCTAGTTACTTAAGCGATCTTTTCTCGAATGTCTGTGAGAACAATCCTTATAAGTCTATGCTAAGAAATGCGGAATATAATGTTGTACTGGACCACGTTCCAAAAACAGAATATTATAAGGGGTCTTTCTCATGCAGAGGAGGAATGCTGTGGAATTCTTTACCAAATGACATAAAAGCGTCCGAATCTAAAGCTATCTTTAAAAGAAAACTGGCTAGTAGGCAGGCAAACTGTTGACTACATTTTACTATATTTTATTTTTTGTACATATTTTTAGTGTAGTTGTACAGTATTTACTTCTGTTTCTATACGGCTTTCATGTAAAGAAGTTATGTAACTTATGAAATTACCGTATTCAAATAAAAGTGAATCAATCAATCAATCAATCATGCCATGAATTATTTTGCATCTCAGGCACTGGACGCAGGGGTAACAAAATCACTGCGTTTAGTTGTCCTACATTTCTGTTCATTTTATCTATTATTTCTTCTGTCTTAGTCTCGTGACGTTTTTTGTCAACTTGTTCAACAAATGAAGAACCAACATTCAGAAAACACCAAGAATCAAGCATCAGTTTTTATTGGGACATGGAACATGGGTAAAATATTTTGACTAGCAAACTGCAGCTTTGCCTTTAAAGGAGCTGTGTCATGAAAATATTCATCCAAATTAGGAATTACAAAATGCCCGTTAAATTAAGAGAAACATATAAATAACCACTTAAAACATTAAAGGAAGGTTAAAATAACACAACAGATACAACAGATGCCAAGGATGGGCAAAACTGAAGAAGAATGAAACGGATTGAAATTCGGGTTCTTGAAAACTGTTCAGCCTAACAGTTTTTCAAAGTTTATCTATGCAGTTTGCAACTTCAAAATAATGCTCAGGAGACATATTTGTTTGTCGTGAATCTTTGATTTTGTCATTAACATGTAATTTCTTTGCTTACTTTAAGTTCCACAGTGATTGAGGGCGAGAAATTGGCAAACTTAAACAAAATGAACTGGACTGCCATGACATAGCCCCTTTAAGTAGTGGTATGAGTTTCTCAGAAAATAGATTTTACATCATCAGTCATAGTTGTGACTTTGAGAATGGTGCATCTCTCTGGCAAAAATGGTTATTAGTTTGAGCCACACCCACAAAAGTAGACCCTGGTACGCAGTACATGTAAGCAGTAGATTTCTAGCAAACTACCCACCTACCCCTCCCCTAACTCAACGTTGACATCTGTTTCTCACTTGGGGCAAAATGTTGGGTTGGGGTAGGGGAAGGTGGGGAGTTTCCCAAAAACCTAAATTGATCCAGAATTTCTGATGACCAATTCCATCATTGTTGTACTAAAGATTACCCCAATGGAACTAGCTGGGTATACTTACCATCTACAAGGGTTTTATTTGAGGCTGTGGGGTCAAACATTTAGACCGGTTCCTTACCACGTCATGTCTACTACTTTGTCACCATATTATATTTACAGATTTCTTTTTCGTTATTTAAGCATTGCATTGTGTTGTTTAGGAAGTTGCCACTACAGTCTCAAGAACATTGGAAAGTGAATTTCCAAGATTTTGATTTCAATAATTTTCTGAGGGTTGGAGGTTGGAGTTTAATGCCCCCAGATCCCCTAGGGACTCACATCTTCGTCATAGCCCTCATATTTTAAGATGGGCTTGCTTGGCTGTTTATACTGCACAACGCAGCTAGGATGAGCCATGTTTAAAAATGCCCTTTACAGTGATGTTTTGTGTATTTTTAGGTTTTGCTAATCCTCCTGCTGACCTTAGATCCTGGTTTAAGTGCCAGGGTTCTGGTAAAACCATGGATAGCTCTTTGGCTGAATTTCCTCATGATATCTACGCAATTGGCACACAGGTACAATGTGGGATGCAAAGTAATATTTTCAGATTTTTTTAGTTTCTTTGAAAAACGAGATATGGAAATTATTATTAATGTACATGCCATCATGCACCTGTGACTTGCATTCCATAGTGATAACTCCTTTGTTAACATAGTAAAATTCAAAGTGCTATAATTTCCTGCAGATCTCTATCAGTGAGTGGCATAGATAAAGTAAACAGCTAGGTTGCAGAACACCTGGGCCCGGTTGCATAAAACGCCCGTAACAACTACGGGTATACGTACGTGCACTCGTAACTTAAGCGAGTTGCATTAAATCACTTACGTGGTCCACTTAGGGAATTCACTTAAGTGGTTGCACTTACGATTTTCGTAAGTGTTCAAGTAAGTGTCGTTTATGCAACAGAAATTGCGGGTGTTGCATAAAACGTTTTTTACGGGAAAAATAGCACGTAAATTTACGGGACCTATGTAGGTCCCGTATATCGTTACTGTTTTTACTAAAGTTAACGAGATCTTTTACTGAGAGTGAAAAAAAGTAATTTTTCCTCACGTAATTCGTTCTAATGTGCTTTGTTAACCTCTTATGTACACTTTAAAGCCGACGCTGTGAAAAAAGAAGAAGAATTATCATTTTCAGTAGACATAGAAGAAAAATAACGATTGCATGCAAATTTCATTTTTTTGAGTTGCATAAAAGTGTTCGAAACGACTTAAAAATTTTTTTACACTCTCCGATGGTTAGCTTAAAAAAAGAGTCAGAGTCATTAATAAAGTACTATGTCAAGGTTAAGTGTGCCCTTAAGTGAGCCCGTAAGTTACCACGTAAAACAGAAACTTACGAGAGTGCTAAGTGCCCGTAAGTGTACCCATAACGGATTCGTAAGTGACCTACTTAAGTGGGCACTTAAGTGTAGGTTTTATGCAACCGGGCCCTGGCCCATTAACTATCTAACTTGAAAACTGCTCATGTGGTCCAGCTGTCGTCTGATTTTCATAATAAATTCTGAATTAATTAGACTGCGGGAGTGTGCGAGTGCAGTGGCACTAGTATACCCCGCTTTATAAGCACACTAGTTACTTGACATGGACTGCGGGAGCACTAATTGTATTTACAAAGAAATTTACAAAGAATGTATGAGCTCATTAACGTTTTGCCACCCAGTAATTTTGCAGTTTTTAATTGCTGGTATTTTCTTTGTTTTACTGATTGCAAAGAGCTGAAACTTTCACAAACTGCATAAATTAACCAGCTCTTTTAATTTTTGAATCTAATTGGTATACAGCTGTTTCCAGAAAGGTTGTCGGAAAAAGTGCACGCGACAATCCTGAAAGGCATTATGGGTGGTTTTAAGTTCACTGTTCTTCAGCGAAATTTGAAAGAATTGGCACGAAAGGCCATGAAAATGTGTTTGCGAACGTTAACGGAACGGAACAAAAGTAGGTTCGACAGCTACAGTCGTCAGAAACAGTGTATCGATCATATCCCATATTACCTTTCTGGATTGTCGCTTGCACATTTTTTCCGACAACCTTTCTCGAAATAGCTGTATATTGCTACATGTTCTGTGGGTTAACTCGCATGCTAATGAGCAAAAATGTAAACAATGACGTCACGATAAATCTGCCTATTAAACGGCCAGTAATCAAAGTCCTAAAATAAATATAGAAAAGGAAGGGAAAGTAAACCTCAATTAACCCTTTAAGTCCCAGTAGTTACCAACATCAATTTTCTCCTAACAATATCCATAGATTGTCAAGTGCAACATCTATGAGAATTAATCAAAGATCACAAAGAGAAACGTCTCTGATCTTTTATCAATTTCTCCCAACTGTTTCTGTAAGGAAATGTATAGAGATCAGTTTGGAGAATTTGTTTATGGATATTGGGGCTTAAAGGGTTAAGCAGCCGCGGCCACCTTTTGACCATCCCAACAAGAGTTCTCCCATTGTTGTCGCCTTTATTAAGTGGTCATTAAGCGCTTATTTCACCTAGTTTGGCTTTATTTCAAGAATATACTGAAGGAAAATACAGTTCTTCATAGAAGGTGACGACTGACTGTGGACTAGTAATGATGCTTCCGTTGCCGTTTGTTCGGAATATGCTGATTTTTGGCGAACCTCTATTAAGCGGCCACTTTCCGGTACCCCGACGGTGGCCACTTGATAGAGGTGCAACTGTAGATTATTTTCCTTCCACTTAACTTGAATCAATCTCACTGTTCCAGGAGTGTCCAATCGGTGAAAAGGACTGGATTCTTAGAATTAAGGAGCAGCTGAAAATACTATTTCGAAACAAGGAATTCTATTTGGTATGTTGGACATAAGATTTTGTTGGTTAACAAAGTATAATTGTAAACGTTCAGTGTACAAGTCCATGGCAAGAATGGTTGTTTCCGTTTAAATCTCTGTTAAAAAGCAACAGTTTTATGTGATCAAAAACTTGGAGCATTTTAAAGTTGTTTTTATTTCAGGGTAAATGGTCAGGAATTCACAGCAAATGTTTATAGATCAGAGGGGCTGAATTTCTCTGTTTACTGCTGTCTAAGGTGTAACCGGTCAAGTCGCCCGAAACCAGAGTGTATATAATATATCTCGTTCTTTAAGCGATGGTGAAACGATACAAGCAGGACAATTGTGTAATAAAGTTGAAACGAAACGTTGAAAGTTAGGAGAGAAGAAGCTAACCTTTTTTTAAAATGCATTGTACTCACCTAGTGCTTTCTCATTGGCTAAGAGCCTACAGTTAATTTTGGGACTCAGCGCAACCTACAGATTAGATATGTGCTCGCAGATTAGTGACTATCTGTAGGTTGCGCACACAATACATGATTTTGAAGAGCGGTCATTAAACTCGGTTTTTGTGTTTTCTGAAATAGTCAAGGTTTCAGTAAGTGTTATCAGCCTTAGTTTTGGGCTCGGCTGATAACAAAGTTTCCCTCGACCTTGATTATTCCAGATATCACAAAAGCCTCATCCAATAATTATTTAATATTCTATAGTATTTCTTTATTTTAGGTCAGCACCTGCTCATTGTGGAGTATTAGATTAGTTGTCTTTGCCAATCGAGATCTGAAACACATGATATCACATGTTCAACAGTCTAGTGTCAAGACTGGAATAGCCAATGTTCTCGGTGAGTTTTCAACTTCTTTGGGAATAACTTAATTTTTTTTAATGTTTATGCAGTTGAGGCGAATGATGGGAAGACTCTTGCTTAGTCTCTGTACGGCGTTTTCCCAGGCCCTCCCGGTCAATTCACTCCGGTGACGTATCCGAGACGAACGGGCGGAAAACACATCTTCGCTTGGAGCACGTGACCTGAAACGCTTTGGCCGCGCGAAATAATGAGGCCTAGGGACTAGGCAAGGAAGACTCAAGTCCGCCAAGCTGCTGTTCTTTTTTTCCTAAGTCTTTTTAATGACTCGTCCCTTGTATAGACCTTATTCACGATACCCGCCATCTTTGCACGCGTTTTAATTGATAAAAACAATGTCACGTGGTTTCTCAGGGGGCAAATAAGTGAAAAAATTGCCAATGGAGGAAATCGCGGTATAGTTTGTTTATTCTAGACAACAGGAAATGAAGACCTTTTCATCTTAAAGACGATAATGTCAAAATATAGGTGGAAGTGATCATCGTTACCTTTTTGTATACAGTAGCGACCGTAATGTCTTCATGGCGAACAGTAATGACATAAATCAAGCAAACAAGAGAATGAAGTCGCCTCAATAATTCCACCCAGGTTAACAGACAAAATGAAAAAAATTAGCCAAATCTCGGAACCAAGCAGACTGCAGGATTTAGGGAATTCCGTCCGTGTGCAAATAAAGAAAAAGTAATTGTAAAGCTTAACATGTCTTAGTGTTGTAATGGGATACTAGTGAACTTACGCAACAGGACGGGAGAGGGAAGAAGACGGCAAACCTTGTGTGACAAGCGTGACAATAATTTTGTTTGAAATAACTTTTCGCTAAAATTCACTTTCCTTTAAACAGATCTTTTTGTAAAAGACCAGAAAACATTGATGTTAAGTGAAGATCACGACAAAACACGTAAGAAATAGCCTTGTCACGTTTGTCACACACAAGCATTTTGCTGTCCTCTTCTTCCTGCCGTCCTGTTGCGTAAACTCACTACTACCTCGTCAGTACGGCCAGTTGGTAATGGAAGGCCTTAGATAACGATGACCTCAACCAGGCTGTGGTGTCCAGCAGTTTTAGTGAGAACAAGGGTTTGGTTGTGGTGCTCAGTCTCGCGGGCTCATAAAACCTGGTCTCGGTCATTGTTATTGGAAGGATTTTTGTTGGTAACGCCCTAGCCTGCAGGCACGCTTGCCATTTTGAGTGGTTGGCATGATATCCCCCAGATAGAGAATATTGATACTGTGATTTCACTAAGAGGAACAAGGGAAGGTGCAGTGGTGAGGGAGCTCGCCTCCCACCAATGTGGCCCAGGTTCAAATCCCAGCGTCGACTCCATATGTGGGTTGAGTTTGTTGTCGGTTCTCTCCTTTGTTTCAAGAGGTTTTTCTCCGGCTACTCCGGTTTTCCCCTTTCCTCAAAAACCAGCATTTACAAATTCCACTTCGACCAAGAATCAGGTAGACGAAGAATCACTTTGTGGATGTGCTACCTCCAAATCATTATTTATTTATTATTATTTATTTATTTAAGACGATTCCACTGTATACCTAAGATGTTCATTATGTCTTCTTCGATTTCCAGGTAACAAGGGAGGAGTGGGCATTTCTTTCTCTCTTGGACCACTGTCCCTGTGTTTTGTAAACTGTCATCTTGCAGGAAGGGCATCTGAGGCCAGAAAGTTAAGGTTCGTGTTTGGTACCCGCGTGGAATATTATGTACCCATATAGGGGCTAAATAGCTCAGCAGAGGCAGTAGCGACAAAAAATAATTGTCATGACTGTCTTTTAGATACCTGAAACACAACGAGTTTGGCAGCAGCACTGAAATGAAGCCGGAACGGATGATGTCTTTTAATATATTCGCTATTAAATTTTAAAAGACCTTGTGTTTAGTTAAAAGCCATTCTCCGAGCCATCAAAGTCTATCTGATCCTAACGGAATTCTTCTCCAATAATTGTAGCAATTTTAGCATCGTGAGCCGTCATTTTGAATCAAGCATGACTTCATTCTGTGCAACGTGGAATTGGCGAGATGATCAAGAGGCCAGAAAATTTGATGCTGTTGCCATATTTTCCGATGAAATTTGTAAATGGAGGTGGCCAGTTAAAAAGGATCGACTACCAACCATACTTAACTTGCGAGCAAGCTTTCCATGGCGCTCTTTTCGCCCTGCCGTCAGAGAGCCTCAACAGAGAGCTTGCTCGTAGGCCAAACAATACCAAACATTCCTGCTACTTGAGCATCTCACGAATTCCACGTAGGCTCGATTATCAGCCGCTGTTCGGGAAATGAGCCCGCGCTACTCCCCCGGAAATCGAGCACACAACTCTACCTTGCACAGACTGATGTTTAAAACTGTGCAATGAACTAGGCTTAAATTTAAAACCAGAAAAGGTTAATCACCATATCGTTTGTGTCAATTGCAGGCGGAATCAAAATTTTCTTGATATTCTTAGTGGACTGACCCTTGGCCAGAAAGGTGTGTTTGGTATCACACATCAGTTCCATCATGTCTTCTGGTTTGGTGATCTGAACTACAGAATAGATTTGGATGTCAAGGTGAGGGCTGAGAGTATAATCTGTGGCTCAATATCCACATACAAATTCCTCAAAGAATTAGTTGCGAGAATTTGATAAAATATCTAAGCATTTTTTAAACAGATCCATCCTCGGAGACCCAGGGGCAGGCACTAGAGAGCTTTCGATTTGAGTAGGACAACGACTACGAGTTAAAGATTTAACTTAAACTTTTTGCGCGTGTACAAAAAAAAAAAGACACCCCGGAAAGTTTCATTTTACTTTTTTTAACCAAAAAAGTTAGCATGGTTATTTATACCTGAAGGAGGTTGAGCCCTTTCCCATTAGCAAAATGATAAAACTTCTTACATTTGATAATACTTACAATAGTGGACTCTAAAATCCCTGAAAAATGCATGCCAGTTTATACCTCTAAAATGTAGCCTTGGCTAGCACGGGTACAAAGAGGAATCCAAAATCTGGAAATATTGAAGAGCAAGAGGAATCTTAAATGTGAAATCCTTGAAGAGGGAGGATTTCTGGAATGACGGGTGGTCAAAGTGACAGAGATACTTGTAGATTCCTTGAGAAGTCAGGAATGAGAAAATTGTTAAAGAGAGAGAGACTAATAGAAGAATCTCGCTTGTGGAATGCTTGTTTTGAAGACATCTCCACCTTCGGTTTCAATCTTCCATAAGACAACGACTGTCTTTATTGGAAACAAGCAACGTTAGAGAACAAACAAAAGCAGCTTGCGTTTTGAGTCAGATGTTCAATGACTAGATCAGATACCACTGTTATTACAGTAGCATACTTGATGTCAAAGATATACATTTAAGAAATTCAATTCAGTGTCACTGATATTTGTGATCGATTTAGGTTTCAGGGAAACTGCCCACCTACCCCTCCCCTAAGCCAATATTATCACTTACTTCTCACTTATGGCAAAATGTTGACTTAGAGTAGGGGTTAGGTGGGCAGTTTCCCTGAAACTTATATTGATCCGATATTTGTATAGTTTCTTGGTGTTTTTGTTTAGGAAGTGCTGGCTAGTGTCAAGTGTCAGAACTTTAGCAAAATGAAACTTCACGACCAGTTGAGGGTGGAGAAGGATAAAGGGAATGTTTTCCTTGGATTCGGTAAGATTTGTGATTTTGTGCGTGTAAACCCATCCTCGGAGACCTTGGTGCAGTCAGTGGGATCGGGAGGAACAGCTACATTCTTCCGCCCATCCTTGAAAAGTGTTGTCGGCCCGTTTATCCCAACCTGACTGACTTCCAGCCGCACCTCCTAGGACATGTGAACCAGGCATACTTGTCCATTATTTATCGGCTAACTAAGCAAACAATAATGAATAGCTAAAAATGAAAGTCGCTGGAACAGACCAAAGAAAACAATGGCATAAACAACTTTATTTCTCATGCAGTTTCCTAACACAGGACCTTCTTTATCGTGATTGCATCTTCCGAGTTCAAAAGAACGTTTACCTGGAAACAAGGCATTGAGGGTCAATTATCATAAAGACAATAATGACCTAATTTGCTACCAATTTAGGTGTATTGGAAATGCTTTGTTGGCTTTTTGTTTCCTGTGGTTAGGCTTTTATTTGTACACTGATATTTGTAATGACTGAGTAGTTAGCAAGGCTGACATGGCACATTCCGTTTTAATTTTTTAGAGGAAGAAGTCATTAACTTTCCACCAACATACAGGTACAAACGAGGAGGTACCGAGTACATCTCGGAGAAAGTCAAGAGAACCGGGGTAGGCATGCTTTGTCTTTATTACTTTTGGAATAGAGTGTTTTCACATGACGTCACAGCGGCCATATTGGTGTTCCAAAACAATGAAACGGCGGCCATATTGGTATTTCAAACAACTCCTATGGGAGTTGAACTCTTTTCTTATGTAAACCTTTTCTTTTGTTCCAATAAATTTACATAGATGCTGGCCACTGAGTGAAAACGCTCTATAAGTTCTTGTGGCAATTTATAGCATTTTTATGTTTTTTTTCGTAAGTTGCGTTAAGTTTGCCTAGAAATAATGAGTTCAGTGCTTCTAAAGGTTTTTTGACGACAGTGGAAGTGGTGCTTAATGAACTTAAAGAATTTGCGAACTAATGGCTCTTTACTTACTGAATAGATTCTTTTTAGGGATTAAAAGTAATGTTATGTATTTTGCAGGTGCTGACCAATGTACCATCGTGGTGCGACAGGGTACTTAGACATTCTTTCCCACAGACCAAGATCACTTCTACTTCATATGGTGAGTGCATATACTCCGCAGTCAAGACATCCGGTAGTTAAGATTCTAGAAACGTCCCAACATTGAGTGACAAATAGTGCAATGTAAAAGCATTGCTGAAGAGGGCCATACCGTAGGATTGCATCCACAGACTTGAAAGTAACAACTACACATACTAAATCAACTGCACCATGTGAAAGTACTGCTGAAAAGGTTTCATTTGATTGGTAATACCACATAATTTTGCTCGCTGATTCAAGAGATTTAACTCAGTTGCATGCCTTTATGAAGTTGTCAGGGTGTCAAATGATAAACACCCTAAGGATATTTAATGTTTCCCTAGCCTAGACGGGACAAACCCCTTTATAAAATTGACAGCTAGAGTTCGTCCCTGCCTACTATTCTGTCTTATTATATGACTGAATTTGCGAGCGGGAAAAATTGAAGTCAATCTTGTGTTGTGATTGGCTGCCCGATAGGGTAAGAGGGGCCTATCCTGCCCGCTAGGGATTTCCCGCATTGGTCCCGCAAGGAAACGTTTTTATGGTCATGTAATTCTGTGTTTCACTGTCACGCAATCAAAATTATAAAGTGTAAACCATTACATACAGAAAGTCCAGAATCTGGGAAATGTATACAAGGCAGTCCCCCCGTACCGGTTTCCGGCGTAGAGTTGAGAGTTTATCCCAGGCAGCTAGTTAATGTATCTGCTCCTTTTTTGTGTAGGTTGTCCCGTTTATATCAGGACGAGTGACCACTGGCCTGTTTTCTGTACATTTGATATGTGCCTGCCCTTCACTGTTTCACCAGGTATGTTTACTTGTTTGTTTTGTTGTACCGTCGAACCCCTCTGCAATAACTTCCTTGGACCTAAAAGGGGGATATGCCAGGAGTATACTCTTGGTTTATGTTTTGTTCCTTGCTTTCTTTATTACCAAAATTTACGTTCGTAAAAGCTAGTAGTAATGAGACCCATTAAAGGAGTATTCATTGCTTACTTACCCCCGCGTAAGTAGTGTAGTGTGTATGAAATGAGACCAATTTATGCAGTGTTCTTTGCTCACGTTATGACCTCAAGTTACCCCTGTGTAAGTAGTGTAGTGTGTATGAAATGAGACCCATTTATGCCGTGTTCTTTGCTTACATTATGACCACGAGTTACCCTGTGTAAGTAGCGTAGTGTGTATGACATGAGAACCATTTATGCCGTGTTCTTTGCTCACGTGATGACCTCAAGTTACCCCCGCGTAATTAGTGTAGTGTGTATGAAATGAGACTCATTTATGCTGTGTTCTTTGCTCGCGTTATGACCTCAAGTTACCCCGGCGTAAATAGTGTAGTGTGTATGAAATGAGACCCATTTATGCCGTGTTCTTTGCTCGCGTTATGACCTCAAGTTACCCCCGCGTAAGTAGTGTAGTGTGTATGAAATGAGACCCAGTTATGCCGTGTTCTTCGTTAACTTTATGACCTCAAGTTACCCCTGTGTAAGTAGTGTAGTGTCTATGAAATGAGACCCATTTATGCCGTGTTCTTTGCTCACGTTATGACCTCAAGTTACCCCTGGGTAAGTAGTGTACTGTGTATGAAATAATACCCGGTTATGCCGTGTTCTTTGTTAACTTTATGACCTCAAGTTACCCCTGGGTAAGTAGTGTAGTGCGTATGAAATGAGACCCATTTATGCCGTGTTCTTTGCTCACTTTATGCCCTCAAGTTACCCCTTGCATAAAGTGAGCAAAGAACACTGCATAAATGAGACCCATTTGTGCAGTGTTCTTTGCTCACTTTATGCCCTTAAGTTACCCCTGGGTAAGTAAGTAAGTAAGTAAGTAATAACTTTATTTAACGAGGGTAAAGACATTGATTACTGGTCACCCAGTAGTTTTCACAATGGCCCTCCTACAATTAAAGTAATAAAAAGTATCGATTAATTAATTAACTACCAATATAATCTACCAACTAAAATTACATAATAAACTACTATTAATACAATATTGATTAATTGACTACTAATGAAACTAAAAGGTTTTACAAATCTTAAAATGATCAAGAGAAGAAATCAAACTACGGTAAAGTTTAAATAAGTAATTTTTAAAATTAGTATGGGAGAGTGTCTTAGGTTCGGGATCAAGAGCGTTCCACAAACGGCAAGCGCTTGAGTGAAACGTTCGAAGGCCAGAGTTCCTTTTACAAGCTGGTGTTGTAATATTGTTATTGGAAACGGATCTCGTGTTATGATTATGGGTGTTACTTATATGTTCAATATATTTATTAAAATAAGCCGGGCAATGTCCTTGATTTATTTTATGAAGCATATAAAGCTTCCTAATACGTATAATATCATCTATAGGTAGCCAATCTAATTTGTTAAAAAGCTTGACTGAGTTTTGGTGAGTATCAGCATCTAAAATAAGCCTAGTACATCGTTTAAAGTAGTATAGTGTGTATGAAATGAGACCCATTTATGCAGTGTTCTTTGCTCGCATTATTACCTGAAGTTACCCCCGCGTAAGTAGTATAGTATGTATGAAATGAGACCCAGTGATGCCGTGTTCTTTGTTAACTTTATGACCTCAAAGTACCCGCGCCTAAGCTGTAATAATAATAATGATAATAATAATTTGCATTTATAGTGCGCAATTTTCCATGAAGATGTTCAAATACGCGTGACGGTAACTTAAAAAACAAGATCTAAACTTTAAATAGATAAATATAGTGGCTTAAATTTACAACTGCACAATAAAATGTAAAAAGATAAAATGTTACGTACTAAAATTCAGAACAAGGTAGAATCTAAGTTGTGATAATAAAAAGGCTAAACCAAATAAGTGAGTTTTAAGCTTAACTTTAAAGACATCAACAGACTTGGCGCAGTGGAGTATAGTGTGTATGAAATGAGACCCATTTATGCTGTGTTCTTTGCTCACTTTATTACCACAAGTTATCCCCGCGTTAGTAGTGTAGTGCGTAGGTTACTTTAGCATAAGTAGTATAAAGTCTATACAGGGAGACCCATTTAGGAAGAAGGGTCCACTGCTAGCTTTATTATCTCAAGTTAGTCAAACATAAGTAGTATAGTGCGTATGAAATGAGACCCATTTTTGCTGCGTTCATTGCTCACTTTCTGACGTCAAGTTACTTTAACATAAGTGGTATAAATTGTACAAAATGAGACCGATTTATGGAGTATTCATTGCTTGTGTGTTTTATGTCATTTGAAATAATTGTCTTCTCTTTATTAGAGCAAAGTATTCCAAAGAGCCCGCAGTCCGGAGGATGTGAGATCATATTTTGCAAGATCAGTGCAAAGGTGAGGTGGCTTTTCTGACGAGTTTCTGTTAAAACCAAATAGCTTTTGAACCTTTCGTTGAAGCATTTGAGAGCCACCCCTATCACACATTTTCGATATTAGTTTTGTACAAGGATATAGTAGAGTCGTGAAGTAAACCAAAAACAAATCCTTTTTCTCATGCGTTATGTTAAGTATCAATCTCAAATGTTTTGCCCTTGGCCTCATTTTGAAAGTAAGGATTTTGTAACTTGGAAATGACCTATCCTTTATATTTATTCTCTTGCTTTTTTTCTACAGATCAAAACCAACAGTAAAACTAAATTTTATATCGAATTTCACTCCACGTGCTTGGAAGGTAACTGCTTGTTCTTTCTCGCAATCAAGCAAGCTCACTTAACGAATCAATCACACTTTACCATTATCTGCACTCTTAAAAGTCGCAAAATGTCAAAAAATCAACGATCTATGTGGGCAGTTTTTGTTGACCCATTTTTGGGAAAATGAAGTTTTATGGATACCTTACCCAATGGCTGGTGTAATTATTATTTAATTTAGACCCTGTTCCCCATAGAGACTCCAGTAGGTCAATGGTTAAAGCGTCCAATTCTTTGGAGGGGTGTGTGTTCGAATCTCATCTGTAGCTAGGAAATCTTTCGGAGCATTCCATCGTTTTCTCCTAAGTTATTTGGAATTCTGGGGATGTTTCTGGGTGAAAATCTCCCGTGTGTGGTATAGAAAATAAATATTGCATCACCCACGAGTAACCTGCGGGGAGCAGACCCTTTTTTCGGTTCTGGGGGGGGGGGGTGAAACAAAACGTCTGCTCCTCGCGGACTACACCTATGCGTTGTCAGTTTTGTCTTTACTCTAGAGTGAACCACATCGACGCTGCCGAGATTTTCTTGTAAGTTGGCTAAGTACTTGGTTTCTTAATTTCCATATTTCTTTATTGTTTCTCTTTATTTTTGAAGGGGTGAAAAAGACGGGGAAGAATTCTACTTGTAAGTTTGTTAAAATTGAAACGTCGGGAGGGCAGCATTCCTGTCCTGAATGGAATAAGAGTGTTATTCCTCCCGTAAGTATGATAGTCATTACAGAAGTTGTATTCATCGTACGTTCTTGAATTTACAGTTGTTTATCTTCACACTGTATTTTGTTTTAAAAAAAATTAAGAGACCTTAATACTTCGATTATTGTTTCAATATGTAATCCTCCCCTGCGACAAAGCTCTTGACTCGCGGACTGGAATACGAGGTAATGGAAAGGCTATTCCTGATTGTGATTTCTATGAAATTGGTTTCTTTGTGCTAAGGGACTGGTCAAAAAGTATTGTGAGATGGGTTGGAGCATTTGGAATTGTGTGTATTGGGACCATGACAACGGGATCTACGTTCCCCCCAGGGAAACGTGAGGGATGTTTGGGTGGAGGGATGCCATCAATGCCTTGAAACCCTACTCCTGTCCCAGTATATCCTCGAAGACCCAAGGGCAGATAGTGGGGGTGAGGGAAAGTCTTCGTCCCA